GGGGAGGGAGGGGAAAAATGAGGACCTAATGTCGGGGGTTTTAGTGGAGAGAAAATGTTTTGAGAATGATGTACAAATGCGCTTTACAAAAAAAAAATGCGCTTTACACAATTGATGTGTGTATGGATTGCGATAACAGTTGTATGAACCCCTAATAAAAGGTTTAAAAAAAAAAAAGACGATGATCTTGGAGCTCAACTAATATTATTCCTCACTAATGCAGAAAGCGCTTGTACAACACAGTAGGAGAATAGCCATCAAAAATCTATTGAAATGTCCCCACGGATAGGGAAATCACTAACTCAAGAACACCACTGCATGTGTTCTGTAATCGTTTTGAGATTTTTTATGTGACACACTGTGAAATCTCACTGACTGCCTGAGGGGCAATGCCAGCCTTCAAGTCCAGCCCTTTGTCCAGTGAGGTAATTTCCATTATCCAGCCCATAAATCCAGTGAGGTGATTTCACTATCTATCATTTTAGAAGAGAAAAGTGAGCGGAGTTGAAAGATTTGGGGTAAAGTTAAGTGGTCATACAGGTGGGACAGGAACCATTGCTAATGATCATCTCCTGAGGGTCCGAGTCTGCTCTCACTATGGCAGGAGGATTCATGCTTCATTAAAGCTGGCGCTCCTTCTTGTCCTTAGGGCTGGGCCTTCAGTTACTCCTCAAAGTCTCCTCCAGTGGCCACCTAGTCAGCCGGTTTTGCTTTCCATTTTTTAGGGCACCCCAAATGGATTTTAGTACATGTGCAATCATTTATGTACATTAATTGGATACAATGATGTTGATACACTATTTAATATCTCAACAATTTTTTCAATGTTAATGTATTTTAAATGGTCTCACACTCAACTCAAAAATGTAACTGTAAAGAAAACCTAGTGTCACTAAAGTTGGTATACAAACCCCCCACTGCTGAATTTGACTGGCTTTAAAAAGAAAACCACAAAAACTCATGATATTTAATAGAAATTTTTTATAGCTCCTCAAGAATAACTGCTTTCTGTGGTAATGATTGTACAATTTTTAAAATCATTTTATTGGGGGCTCGTACAGCTCTTATCACAATTCATACATCCATCCATTGTGTCAAGCACATTTGTACATATGCTGCCATCATCATTTTCAAAACTTTTCTTTCTACTTGAGCCCTTGGTATCAGCTCATTCCCCCCACCTCCCTCACAAACACTTGAAAATTTATAAATTATTATCTTTTTGATTGTACAATTCTTGATATGATTGAACTATTGAATTGTGTGATATTTGGATTCAGTGCCAATGAAACTGTTAAAAAAAATGCCAGGAGAAAAATTCTGTAAATTGGGGGTAAATGAATACTCTCTCAGATGAGAGGAATAAGAATAAGTATGTCATTATAGTCTTATTCTCAAAGTTAGAAATTAGGCAGAGTATTTTCAGACTAGTTCTGGAGTAGTACTGATGTAATCATACATGCTTTCCAAAAACCAAACTCATGGCCACCGCCGAGTTAATGCCAACTCACAGCTGCCCTAGAGGACAAAGTAGAACTGCCCCAGTGAGTTGCTGAGGCTTTAACTCTTTACAGAAATATAAGGCGCTTCTTTCTCCATCAGAGTGGCTGGTAGTTATAATCTGCTGACCTTGAGGATCGTGGCAGTCCAGCTCATAACCAATATACCACCAGAGCACCTTTATACATGCTTTAAATGTGGATAAATATTTGGTTTCGATTTTTATTACACATATGATAATATAACAATAATCAACTATACAATTTATTCCTTCTACACAGTGATTGTACAAACTTTCCAGGCCTGAAAATTAGCCAACTTTTAAAATATTCCATGTTCACTAATAATCACTACCTATAGGAGAAATTTTACATTAAAATTATAATTGTTTGTGCTTCAAAAACTAGAGTAATTTTAATATTCAAACACGAAATAGAACATTTTCATTTTTTCAAGTTTTATTGCCTATACATCATTCACATATCATACATAGTTCAATGAGTAAATTTTCAATCAATATAGACCAATCCAAGTGTTTTTTTAAACTTATATTTAGGGAACCGATTACAAGGAACTGTATGTGACCTCCTCCCTGGGGGACAGACAACCGAAAAGTGGGTGAAGGGAGACATCGCACAGGGCAAGATACGACAAAATACCAATTTATAAACTATCAAGGGCTCATGAGGGAGGGGGGAGCGGGGAGGGAGGGGAAAAATGAGGACCTAATGTCAGGGGTTTAAGTGGAGAGAAAATGTTTTGAGAATGATGTACAAATGCGCTTTACACAATTGATGTGTGTATGGATTGCGATAACAGTTGTATGAGCCCCTAATAAAATGTTTAAAAAAAAAAAAGAAAGCCCTACATTATGGCTAGTTTATAATGATGATCAGGTCAAGTAAATATTAATTATCATGTTAACTTCATTAGGCAGGTAGAAGCTGAAATTAGATTTTGAGTAGATCACGCCAATTTCTGTTATGCAATTGGGAAACAAAGACAGAACGTTTAATAATTTAAGTTTGATGTTATATTTGAAACGTTTAAGCCTTGTATTTAATATATTTGCCTTTGGGCTGATATTCCTTCTGACATTTAATTAACTTTGTTTGGCTTTGCATTGGCTCAGGAGTTTCCTAATCAAGTCTTTTAAAATGTGTGTATATGCATATGCCTATATATTGGAATATATATATTGGAATATATATAGGCATATATATTACAATGACTGAATCATGGCTATAAAAATTTAATCACCTATTGAATAAGCTTTTGCTTTGTGGTCCCACTAAGGCATTTAACAAAAATTAAAAAAAAAATTTCTACAAAAAATAAAATAAAATTAATAAACTTATATTTAGTCAACTAATACTTGACATTGATTTTTTTCTTAATAGTTTTCCTTTAAAAATCTGTTATGCAAAACAGGAGCCCTGGTGAAACAGTGGTTATCTGTTGGACTACTAACTGCAAGGCCAGCAGTTTGAAACCTCCAGCCACTCCGAGGAGCAAAGATGGAACTTTCTACTCCCTTAGAGTTTCCGTCTCAAAAATTCTACCCTGCCCTCTAGGGTCACTATTTGTCAGCATCAACTCCACGGCAGTGAGTATTTATGCTATTCTTTATCACTTATAATAAGTTGAATATTTATGTCATAAACAGAAAACTGTACCTATCAGTAATAAGGTTTTTGATAGTAACTCTCCCAAAACAGATGCATTCATGTAAACAAAGTATATATTGCTATACAAAAAAGGCACTACCATAAATAAAATCTAATTAGTTAATTTAAACCACAGATTTGATTATGACACAAAACCGTAACTCATAAACTTTTAATGGCCAAGATATTTTCGATTTTCTGTTCCAGTGTGCTTCCGTCATATCTGCTAAACCCACTTCTATCTGGCTGGGATGCGACTTGGCACAGTGTCCAGAGGGCTGGTGGTTGCGCTTTTGTATCTGCCTGAAATTCTTCTAGATAACTGTAGTTGATAGGTGCAGTCCAGTAGATTCCAACTCAGTGACTGATAGGAAATACTGCCCGGTCCTGTTCCATCCTCACAAGTGTTATGTTCCGGCAGTGGTCACAACACATTAGATGGCTCCTGTAGCAGGTACACAGTGTTTGAACCTAGTAAGGCTTCATTCTGCCATGTGTTCTCGTTTAATTGCCTCTTCTCCTTTCCGTTGTACCATCATCTCCATATTTGTCCTGCGGCAGGGTTATTGACTTCGAAAGTGGAGTGCCCTTCTCCAGCCATATCCTTATCTTTCTAGATCAAGTGGTTTTCAACCTTCCTAATGCCATGACCCTTTAATACAGTTCCTCATGTTGTGGTGACCCGTCAATCATAAAATTATTTTCGTTGCTACTCATAACTGTCATTTTGCTGTTATCAATTAGACGACCCCTGTGAAAGGGTCGTTTGACCGCCCCAAGGGGTTGGGGCCCACACACAGTTCTAGCTCCACCCCTTGCACTGGAGCCCCAACTCTTGCCCTTCTCCAGGACTCTGGCTGGTGCTGCTCCTCCTCCTCCTCCTTGTGCACTCCTCCACTGGCTGTCCCGACAGCACAATCAATCTGAGTTATGGAGGCAGTGGCGCCATTCTTAGGGGCTCGAAGCAGCAGCTGTGATCACACTGGTAGGAAAGGGATTGTTGACCTTGCTAGGCAGGACTGCCACCTGCCACTCAGGTGAGCAGCACCCATGGGGTAGGGTGGGAGCAGGTATTCTGCTTGGAGAGCATCTTCTCCGGCTCTGTTTTCCACACTTCCAGAAATATACAGTGTCCACTGGTCACCATATTCCCAGCATAGCCAATTAGATGCTCACCTCAGGCTGCCACCACCTCCTTCCTTCCTGCGGCCTCAGCTGGGGACAGTGAAGTTCCCCAGGAGAGGCAGATCTTCAAGAGCATGGGGTAAGGAGCACTGAATGGGGGGAGGTTCCAAGTGTGCTGAAGCAGTTGTGGTGGGGCAGAACGAGTCTTTTTTCTTCTTGATGGAACGTATCACTACTTAAAATTATCTTCCTTGCTTACTTGTTGTGTCTAAGAATTAATTCTCCATGAAAACAGAGCATGTGGGAGTTTTGTCTGTCCACCAAAAGGGGTCCTGGTGGTATGGTCATCACTTGTTGGACTGCGAGCTGCAAGGTCAACAGTTTTAAACCACCAGCTCCTCCTCAGGAGAAAGACTGGGCTTTCTATTCCCATAAAATTATAGTCTTGGAAGCTCACAGAGGGAGTTGGTCTGCCATGTTCTAGTGGGTCACTATGAGTCGCCCTGACTCAATGGTAGTGATTTTGGTTTGGTCTGGTCTGTCCACCACCTCGAGCCATTACCATCTGCCCAGCTCACAGTGGGTTTCACTAAGTATAGATACTGAATATGTGCCTTTTTTTTTTTTTTTGCTGTAAAAGGACGCTTTATTGTTTTCATTTGGTCCCGGCTTGGGGGATGGGCTCCAGGGCGGTGGCGCTGTGGCTGGCGCGGGGGCAGTTTCAGGCAGAGGGGCTAAGGCCGGCAGAGGGCCCCTCTCAGGAGGCTCGGCGCCGCAGGTTCCTAGTCGTGTTTGAGGGTGAGCCTCTTGAAGAGATACTCGCCCAGCCCGGCCTAGGGGCTGGCCAGCCTGCGGAGGTTGGTCAGGTGGTCGCCCACCTTCTTCAGAAGTTTCACCTCTTTGTCCAGGAAGTGGTTCTCCAGAAAGTCACAGAGATGGGGGTCGGACCCCACGGCGTGCAGGTCCAGAAGGGCCTGGTTGAGTGTTTTCTCCAGGGCTAGGGCAGCTTCCATGGCGTCCAGGGTTCTACCCCACTCATCTTGGGATGGCTTCTGCACATCCTGGAAGAGGGCGCGGCCGCCGCGCTGGTTCTGCAGCTTCCAGAGATGCTCGGCCCCCTCGCGCTTCTCCTTCGCCAGCTCGCGGAAGAAGTGCCCCACGCCTTCCAAGGCCACGTTTTCGCAGTCGAAAAAGCAGCCCAGAGAGAGGTAGGTGTAAGAGGCCCGCAGGTGCAGGTTGACCAGACGGTTGACGCCGGCCTCAGCGTCGGCGGAATAATTCTGATGGATTTGAGAGCTCATGCTGCGTCGGTTTGGAGGTCACCACACGCCAAATAAAAGTGTTCGCTGGTCCCAAGAAGAGGGGCTGGTCCCAAGCGGATGGTCCCGAAGTTACTTCCGAGAGGAAACTGGAGCGCGGGGGAAGGTTGGAGGCAGGGAGTCCCCGGGTCTGTTCCGTTCAAACACTGTTGAAGCCAGACACAGATCCACGGGACCGCTGGGCGAGCTCTCGAATATATGCCTTTTAAAGAGTCCCACAATGTTCATGAAAGCAGCTGGTAAGGTAAGAATCGCACGATATGTTGTAGTGGGCAAATCTGCTGCACAAAATCTCTTTGCAGCGTTGAAAAGTTGAAAAGCAAAGACGACACTCTGAGGAACGAGTGCACCTGACCTACACCAAGGCATTTTACTCACGTCATATCTATGAGAAAGTTGGGCACTGAATAAGGAAAACTGCAGAAGAATTGCTGTGTCTGAATTTATAGTGTTGGTGGAGAATACTGAACTGTCAGAAGGACAAACAAATCTGTCTTGGAGGAAATACAGCGAGAATGCTACTTAGAAATCAGGATGCTAAGTCTTTATTTATCTCACATATTTTGGACATGTTCTCAGGAGAAGATGGTCCCTGGGGGACTTCATGCTTGGTCAAGTAGAAGGTCAGTAAAAAAGAGGCAGATCCTCCATGAGACGGATTGACTGATTCAGTAGCTACAAAAATGGGCTCAAATATAACAATCCTATAGGAAACAGAAGAACCTAGCACTTGTAATGGGATAGGAGAGGTTAAGTGGGGAGTGTGTGTGTTCAAGTATTTTGTTTTGCTAATTATTTGCGATGTGAACTTAGAAATGTAATTCACGGAGCCATAAAATGGAACCCCAGTGGCACAGTGGTCACACGATGGGCTGCGACGAAACGTCAGCAGTACACAACCACCAGCTGTTTAGCACGAGGAGAGGGCTTTCTAGTTCCACACGTAATCACGGAAACGCACAGGGGCAGTTCTATCCTGTTCTATAGGGTTGATATAGGGTGACATCAACCCAAAGGCAGTGACTTTGGTTATGATTTTTCCTGACCCATAAAACAGTTGGAATAACTATTATTTGTGGACTGAACAGAATTATATAAAAAATGTTCTTGCAACACTATAATATCAGCCAAAAATGACAGCAAAAGAGACATTCATCAATGGAAATTTCATAGCCCATCTATATACTATATGATGCAGGTCTACCTAAGTGTAATCACATATCTGATCACCAGAATGGAGATATCTCAGACCCAACCCTCTGAGTGTTTGGCTTAGATATCCAGGAATGCAATAAGGACTGGACATCTGCATTTTACAGTGGTTTCCAGAATCCCCATGAGGGCCAGGCCCAGGAGCCACAGGCAGTCTCTTTGAGGTGAGGACCCAGGAATGGAGAGGATGCAATTTTGTGATTTCTTTGATGAGGGGGAGGAACTCTGGTGGCAGAGTGGTTTCCTGTGGGGTTACGACCGCAAGCAAGGTCAGTTCGAAAACGCCCACTCCCTTAAAGAGTTACAGTCTATGAGCTGGCACAGACTCGATGGCAGTAGAGTTTTCAGTATCTGACTGCAAATATCCACCTGCTGGGGGAACACCGTGTGCATCTCCTGGACTCTCGTTCTGAGACAGGTGTTGTTTGAATAATCAAACAGACAGGTCTGATCCACTCAGCTACCCCAAAACATAAATAAATTAACCAAATGAATATACTCATAATGTATTGTTAATCAAATCAAAGTTTCAAAATACAATATATACTAAAAATCACTGGATTAGACACTTTCAGTAGGTAATCTTTATGGCATATGAATTCTATCTTAACATCTTTTTTTTTAACTTATTTTTTAAGTCACTCATGAAAATCACACATATACACACATTGGTAGCAAGTATGACACAGGAAGAAGCCCTGTAGCTGACTATTAGAAACACTATTTCCTGGTTACTTCACCTCAGGCATTCTGACTTTCGTGGAAATATTGCTAATAGTGATGAATCATTCAAATGCTATTTGACAAGCAACCATACTTGGGTTTGGGGTTGCTCTTTTAAGCTTTGTAACGGAATGGCTGAAAACTGCAATTATCTACAAGATAATTCAGTTTACTGAAAATTTCATAAACGAAACTATGTAAGTCTGACAAGCCTTGTGTTTCTTTATGAAGGAAGCTGGTCTCTAACAAAAACCATTTTCTTTTCTAAGTCCTCCCCAAATATTAATTTAATAACTCATTGTTGAGCCTAAGTTTTATATTTGTTCACCAGTCTAGTGTGCAGAATTTACTTTACTTTTCTGAAAATAAGCATATTTTCCTTTTCTGGTCCTTTGGAACCTACTGTTTCTCCATGTTCACAGATTAACAACCCAACCCCCAAACCCTACTGTTTTGGACTTGATTGTGACTCATAATGACCTGTAAGTCTCCTCAGGGCCTGTGTCTCATCTTTCTCCCGCTGAGTGACTGATGGGTTTGAATTGTTAACCTGGTGATTATCAGCCCAATGCATACCCCACCTAAAGATGAAGGCCTTACAAAAAGGGTTGTGAAATCTCACATCACATGCTGTTTCTTTCAGTATCTGGGTTACAATTCATTTAAAGCAGCAGTTCTCAACCCGTGGGTCCGTGACCCCTCTGGGGGTTGAATGACCCTTTCACAAGAGTCACCCGATTCATAACAGTAATAAAATTAGTTTGAAGTAGCAATGAAAATAGTTTTATGGTTGGGGGGGGTGTCACCACAACATGAGCAACTTTATTAAAGGGTCACGGTATTAGGAGGGTTGAGAACCACTGATTTCAAGCATATAGGGATTCTTTAAATTTTATTTTTGCTTACAACTCCCTGTTACCATTTTAAAAAATTATTGTTCTTTTATCATTTCTGGGAGTATTCTCCTTCATAAAGACACACACACAAAAAAAACCCTAAATGAATACTCTTGCATTGTGAAGATTCAACTTCTACCTCACCCCATATCCCTAATATGGGACCTGGCCAACAGTAGGCAGTCTAAGAGCATGTGTTGATATAATAAATTTCAAGCATTTATCTCTTCTCTTTACTCTTCCAAATAGATTAGAGGGCTTCAAAATATCTTCGTAAATCCTCTTATCTTTGAATTCTATTAGTTCCATGAGCTTTGTTTTTTACAGAGAAAGCAGCTCTGCTTTTATTTATTATTTCCCCATAATGGTTTTAAAGGGCCCAAACCCAGCCTGGCAGCAGTGACCTGAAACTGGGGTACAAGCAGGTGCAGCAGAGGGCATGACTCTCTCTGGGTGTGGGCTCATGGCCATTAGCAGGTGGCTAGATGGGGGTGGCTGCCAGAGGGCTGCTGGGGCCTGGTTGCTCCTGCTGCTCAGGAAGGCTTAGAGCTAGCAAGACTGGGTGCACACCACTTCCTCCACTTCTGCTCCAGATGCTGCTCTCCTCAGCCACCACTGCTGGCAGCTCCAGCAGCAGCTGGTAGAGGGTGACCAGAAGCAGGCTCTCATGAAGTTCTAATAGGGTGCTAGACGTAAGGTCACATTTCACAGAATATAAACAATGGACACCACTATAGAAAAATTCAAATGTAAACATATGAACTAGAAATCACTCATAGCCCACCTTTTTCCTCAACCGAATCACTGTAGTTAAGTGGATGATAGTCTTCCTCAAAAACGATACTCACTTCTTAATCCTTGGAGCTAGTAAACAGTGTCGTATTTGGAAAAAAGGTCTTTGCAGATGTGATTAATTTATGGTTCTTAAAATGGGAGATTAGCCTGTGAGTTCTACCTGCAATCTAAAGCAGCCGCGTTAGACAATGAGGGCAGGAAATTTGACTGGCACAGAAGAGGCGGCAGCAGTGTGATCACACAGGCGGAGACTGCAGTGGTGAGGCCACAAGGCAAGGAGTGCGAGGAGCCAGAAGCTGCAAGAAACCAAGGATGTGTCCCTAACTTGGAAGAAATTATTCTGTTTAAAAAAAGCATGAGCAGTAAGCTGGTTGAGAAAGACATGCATCTTTCAAAGAATGTTCTCCCCTGGAGCTCACACATTACATGTGGGTAAGCATGCTAACGAGAAAAAAGAACCCTTCCCCCTAGAAGTTCTTGGAAGGCCATGGAAAACAACTACTGACAATGAATCATAGAGTGATGGATGAAGGAATACCTCCCAGATAGCTGAGTTTTCCATATCTGTAGGTATGGTTGCTATTGGGTATTCTTGGGTATATCTATTTAGGAGCCCTGGTGGTGTAGTGGTTATCCATTGGGCTGCTAACTGCCAGGTCAGCAGTTTGAAACCACTAGCTGCTCTATGGGAGAAGGATGGGGCATTCTCTCATAAAGAATTATGGTTTTACACACACACACACACACACACACACACACACACACACACACAGTATATACTCGAGTATAAGCCAACCTGAGTATCAACCGAGGCACCTAATTCTACCACAAAAACTGCATTAAAAATGTGAAAAACTTGGCTTACACATGAGTATATACAATTACATATATTTATTTATTCTCAGAAACTCACAGGGTCACTATGAATCAGCACTGACTTGATGGGAATGAGTTTGGTTTTGGTTGGGACATATGTGAGCATTATTAAAGATCAATGATTGCAGGTCATCTTCCATTCTTCATTTTTTTCTAATAGGTATGTTTATTATGGCCCTCTTGCACTTGTTCAAGGAGCACTGGTAGAGCAGTGGGTATGGGCTGCTAACTGAAAGTCTGACTGTCCAAGGCCACCAGATGCTCCTCAAAAAATGAGGCTGTCTGTTCCCATAGATTTAGTCTCAGAATCCCTATGATGCAGCTCTACCCTATCTTATAAAGTTGATGACAGTGGTTCGGTTTTAGGTTTGGGGCACTTGCTTCAACAATGTAAACTGTGGTGAATAACTGAGTGGGGAAAGTAAAATGGATGCATTTGGGGGTGTACAGTTGAAACATCACAGGTCTTTGGACTAAGAGGAGCCACATTTGGACCTGAGAGAGTGACGACTAGGCATGAAAAACACAGAAGCTATGAATCTAGGCTATGAATCTAGCTACCATTACTTCTGGTCCCAAATGGTAAAAAATATAACGTAGTACTTAAACCTCTTTCCATGACAACACATGGATTGCAAAATGCCTGCTTTTCCACATTTAATATTTCTGAAATTA